TGCATTACCGGTTGTCCTCCAATCTCTTCGTGCCGTGCTTGAGGTGTTGACGAGCACTAACAGTAATTTACACCCTACATAGTACGGTTTTCTAACAGTCTCATAGTATCAGCAAAGCAATACGTCAAATAGAACATAAAGGTCCTTGCCACTTAGTGGTATAGGGCAAAAGGATTCGCTTGATTGATTTATTGGTTTAGTGGTATAGGGCAAAAGGATTGGCTTGATGGGTTTATTGGTTTAGTGGCTTAGGCGCCCATTAGGGGGAATGATTGGTTTGATTGGTGTATTGGTTTATTGGTCTATTGGTTTAGTGGTATAGGCGCCCATTGGGGGAAATGATTGGTTTGATGGTTTATTGGCTTGGATGGTTTATTGGTTTAATGGTTGAATGGTATTGCCCTGCAAGGTACGGGCCTGGTCGGCAATCCTTCGATGCTTCGGTATGCATTCTAACTCTATTTATTTCCTTCTAGACGAATACCACACTATACTATTTTGTGCCTGGGCTGAAGTTATGAAGACGGGATTAGGGTTATAATGTCAGGCTTGGGTTATAACAGGAGGGTTTGTTTTCGTAGTGTTTGAGCAGCATGAAGCGATGTGCTCATGTAGCTGGTCTCATGGAGATTGGTGGCAATGGCAAGTGTATCCTAGAGCTGCGGCGGCATTTATAAGATCACGGTAGAGAATCTTTGTTTTCGTAGTGTTTGAGCAGCATGAAGCGATCTACTCATGTAGCTGGTCTCATGGAGATTAGTGGCAATGGCAAGTGTATCCTAGAGCTGCGGCAGATAGACCCGTCCACAGTGAGTGAGTCTAGTGGTGCAGCATCTTCCAACGAAATGCCGGTGCCAGACTCTGCAAAACTTCTCGGTGATGTACAGAGTGGAGTAGTGCCAGTCCATAGTACAAAAACGAGCGTAACCAAGAAGGATATCCAGCACTACATCAACTATCTTCAGCGCGATACAGGAATACTTCGTGGAGCAAATGGAGCGTGGAATAACGCACTTCAACAACGGCTTTACACATGGCTACTCAAGGAGAAGAAGGACTCAAAGACCAAAGCCATCAAGGATAAGACCCCCGAGACAAAGGACATGGACAACAACATCAAAGCGATTATGGACAAGAACCCCGACATCGACGACAACCAGAAGGGCAAGGACGTGGACAACGACATTGCGGACAAGAACCATAACCAGAAGGACAAGCGCGTGGACAAAGACGTAGCGGACAAGAACCACAGCGGCAACCACAATAAGAATGAGAAGGATGCGGAGGATAAGGACGCGGATCCCAAGGGCAACGCCAAGGACACCACCAATGAGCACAAGGCCGAGGACGTGGAGAGCGAGGATTCGGACTCATCGTCATCTTCGAGTTCCGGTGAGTCCGACCGCCCCCTTCCCGTAGTTGACACCTCCAATTGGAATTCCGAGTGGCACGATACGTGGGAGCATGCTCTCACTTTGTCCAGCCAGGTTGATTCTGCACACAAGCGCCGTGTCTTGAACTCAATGCTCCGCACCATTGCCCACTGCCATACAAAATGGCATGAGGAGCACTAACCGCGCATGACATGCAGTCGTTCTGTCTTCCCGCGTGGCAGCCAGCTTGAAAGAGAGTGACTTTGCAGTGGTTGCACGCCTGAGCCACCAGGTGCCAAACACATGGTTATCATGCTACATGCTCCTATGATGATGGCGCAGTTCCAAGCAGCTTGCACCATGTAGAACCTTGTGTTGTCATACAGTCATATGAAAGAAACAACAGACTTGGTTATAACCCGCACGTCTGGTTATAACCGTTGCGTTGAAATCAACCTCGTCTCGTGGTTAGACTCCTCGTCTAGCCGTGCCGCTTCATCATGCCCATGGATTGATCTGTTGCCTACAAACGTGCTCTCCAAGAGATGACGGTTTATGACTTTGTGCAAGTCGACGTCCCTTTGATCTCCAGGCAAGACGACGCCGTGGATTGTCTTGATGACATACTTCTCAGAGACCTGGAAGGCAAGCAAGTCGCAAAGATTGTGATTGACTTGGTCCAAGATGTGTCGTGGGAATCCGTAAATTTCCCACAGCTGGAGGAATGTATGCTGCAGAAGCAGTATGACGAACTCCCGCCTCCATTTGGTCCCAAGGTGATTGTCCCCATGCCGCACAAGTTGCAGATCGCCATAATGAAGACGAGCCTCACACACTGCACAGTACTCAAGTACTTTAGCTTCGAGGAGAAGATCAGCATACACAGGGTCAACGACATAACTTACGGTACATTGAAGATGATAGACTTCACGCCCAACTTCCGTGCCGGACCTTTGGCTATACAACTCATGCTGAAGCAAATGTCGCACTGGTTTGCCCACTTCACGCAAGTGACACCAAAACTTCCCAAGGGGTCCAAGCCCAAGCAGGACCCTGACGACTTGCAGAGTGGCTTCGTGTACATTAAGGCCAATGGTCCCAGGACCAACGTTGGTAACCAGCAGATCGAGTGGGCGGAAATTGAAACCAGGCGGACAGACGGCCCACTTCATGGTTGGCCGGCTGGGCTGGTAAAGGAATGCCTACGAAGTCATTCGAGTGGGATTGCGTATGCGAAGACCATGAACGAATTCTAATTGACCTTGCACGATCTTGCCGCCTGGTTCTTAGACGATGTTGTTGTTGAACTTCTTGGAGATCTCAAGTCCAAGACAATCGTTTTTCTCGGTCTGGCCGAAAAAGGAAAGACGCCTCCCACGCAGGCGATTGCCATGGCAGTCAGTGAGTACTGCATTCTTCGGGACAACAAGGATGATAGCATCCGGCCGGGTTTCCTGCTCATCCCTAGCTTAGCTGCGGAGAGAGTCGGGCGAAAGTACCGACCAGACATCCTTGATGATCCAGACGTGAACATGGTGCCAATTCCCAAGTTAAAGAGCTTCCTCGACAGTTCCCTTGCAGAATGCCACACGGTTGAGAGATAGACTGCAGCAAGATTTGTGCAAAATCAACTACGCATGCTTTGCGACAATAGGGTCGATGAAAAGGCAGAGCCCCCGGAAGACAGCGGCATCTCCACAGACTTCGACACCTTTTGCAACATGATCAAGCCGGCCTTTCACGAAAAAGCGAACCTGCAGGATGTCATGGCGTGCTTGAAGAGAGCACATTTTGTTGTCAACATGAATAGGGCGACCTTCATTCGCAAGGCCGGGACCAGCAAGGACCCGGTGATTCGTGTGCCGTACATGGACGGGGTGCGGGACTTCTCAGTGAGGAGGGAAATCTGTTATTGGCTATATGCAGGAAGGCCGCAAGACCCCCCCAAAGGACTGGGTGCAAAAACGCCAATGGTCCCACGACCTCATGACTATGGTCATCGAGTCGCAAAAGAAGCCTCCCCGCACGAGAACAATCGTCTCATCGGATAGCTTCGCCAATTGTTCCAGGATGCGCAAAAAGATTAAGCCCTCGCTGCCGTTTTCCGGTCGTGTTTGCCCCGCCTTCATTGCTGAGGAACAAGGACAGTCTCCAGCTGCTACATCTTCAAACCCTGTATCCTCACAAGCACTGACTCCATCTTCCAAGCCGTCAGTCGCCCTGACGGAGGTCAAGGAGGAGCTGGACGATAACAAGAACTACTTTCACATGATGATTTCCAACCCGCTCTTTAACACCGTCATCGACTTGGATCCTACTCCACCATCACCCCCAATCAAGCAGCAACGCCTCTCTACAATGGCGGATGAAACACCAAAGATGGCGACCATATGGACGTGGTAGATGAAGAGGTTCTGCCTGCTGTCGGCGTGGATTCGGAAAATTGATCGCCGATGTCTCAGTTTTGAAGGAAGCCTCTCGCGTACACATAGTTCTGCCACGGAGATATCTTCGTGTCAAAAAGTTTTGATGCAAGGGTACGATGTATGCTCTTTGCAGAGGTTCAGTTTGCTCGTGTGGATTTATCCACTCGAGATCTTGGCACTATCTCGAGACTACACACTGTAGACTCATTGCAATTGCATTCTGCTGCAAAACAGTTGGGCACCGCTTATGCATCTCTGGAAGTGACACAGGAGGAATCATCAACTACTGCTATACTCCTGTATGCTTGTCTCAAGCATATCAACGCACTAAACATGACATGGCGGAACTCATGGGAAGGTATATGTTTAGTGTTCATTTGTATTCTATAACTCATGCCAAAGCGCGCTCGTGAAGATGGCTGGCGAACGTGGCTGAAAGAACTCAATGAGGAATACTTCAGTACCGACACTGCATTCCAAAAGCACATTCTGCATCGTCGAGTACTTGACGACACCGGTCGTCTGGTATCCCTGCCTTCGGCGTGAAAAAGTGTCTCATATGCGGTAAACCAGCACGGTTCGAGACGAGAACTTCCAGAGGCTGGACTGCGTATGGATGGACGTGCAAACAGGTCGGGCACAAGCATATGGAAACCAAACTGAACGGCTTTGGTTTCTTGACGGAAATTCCAGTGAATATCTGGCTCCCCTTCTTGCACATGATCAACTTGCTACGGTTGGGAAGAAGTTTCTCGTCCATCACTGACGAGATCCTTGCTGGGTACGGCAACATTGCGCGACAGACGCTTGCCAAATGGCGGGGTGTCTATCAGAGAGCATTGGGTATGCTCTCACCAACTTGGACGCTCGCATCGCATGATCGGCGGCAAACACCAGGTCGTCGTTATGGACGAGGCGGTGGTGGGTGTCCATGCCGAGGACGGCTGGACTGCTGGCTCTCGGGGTATAAACAAGGCGGGGGCCGAGCAAAACCGGTCGTCCGAACGCAAGAATGTCAACAAGATGATTGAATCCGGAGCAATGAAGCGACTACCTGCTCGCACTCTGCATCACAAGGAGAAGGTTTCTTCCTCATCGCCTTTCATCGTGAACAAGAGACCCGCCTCCTCCAACACAGCCCATATCATGAAAAAGCCCGCCATTGCACCGGCCAAGCGTCCCAAGAAGAACAACCTCAAGGCCAATGGTATGTGGCTATGGCTGGCAATATGCGCTGGGGCTAATAATGCAGTTTACACCCACAGCAACAAGAGAAAAAGGGTCACATACTGACTCATGCCCTCAAGCAAAAAAGCCATCAAGAACAAGCCCCGCAGTTTCGATGAGATCAAAGCCACCGTCCAGAAGCATGTCGCCAAAGGTTCCTTCCTAGTGTTTGATGGGTGGCTCGCAACGGAAAAAGCTGTAAACTCGCTCGGCTACACCTATGATCCGCCAGTAAAGCGCGAGAAGCACTTTCGTGACCCGTCTACCGGCTTTCACACAAACGACGCGGAAAGTGAGAACAATAGATTGAAGAAGTGGTCCAGAACTCGCTATGGGAANNCGAAATGGATGAGTACGTTTTCTATGTAAATGTAGGAAGCAGTATGTGCGATGTGTTCCATGGACTTGCCATGGCTAATGGGGGCGCATGCAGCAACCGACTGCTTGCGATTGAGTGAACTCTGGACATATGCAGCAGGCAACTGCTCGCGAATGGCTGAAGTGGGGTAGCATGCAGCTGAAAAAACTGATTCGTGCAGCTGTGTCATCCTTGCCACGTGCGTGTCATCCTTGATGAATGCCCTGTGTGTCATTCTTGTGCAGGGGCTTTTCACATCAATGCGTAGTCTCACTTTCGTTCATCTGAGGTGCCTTTTCCGTGCAGTACGACTACCAGCTCCGACTATCCAGGGTTGGTTGAGCGAGCCTAAACCCTAAGCCGTAAGCCCGTAGAGCTTAATGTTTCGGTTAGGTGCTTCGCATTGAAGGATTGAAAGTTTGCCTTAAGGGTTTAGGGTTTACGGTTTAGGGTTACTGTTGTACTGAGGGTGACCGGTTCGGGCCAAATAAAGATAAGTGTGTTTCGATTTACCCTAAACCCTAAGCCTGAACCCTCAACCTTATAAACCCCAAAACCTAAGTATTGTAGCATATGCCTGAACCCTTTTCGTGCAAGCGTGTAGAAAGGTAGAGGGGATACTACGCAGCCCATATATACTTATATTTATGTTTATACTTATACTTATACTTATATATATATATATTTATTTATTTATTTATTCATTTATTTATTCCGCAACAGCTTTAGCTTTGGGGTCTTCAGCCCTTCTAGCTTCGGAGCAGATCGGAGGGGTTCGGAGCGGGTTTCGCAGCGGGTTGCGGAGCGGGTTCCGGACCGGGGTTCGCGAGCGCGGTTCGGAGCGGGTTCCGGTGCCGGTTCCGGCACGGGTTCCGGAGCGGGTGGGTTGTGGAGCGGGGTCCCGAGCTCCGAGCCGGTTCCGTCGCGACGAATAGGCTGAATGCCAGAGACAATTCGCCCTGTCAGGGTGTCGACGCCATGCTGTGCAAGGTCTTCGTCCTCCAAAACAAAAAAAGCCTGGGGTGCGGGATTTTGGTGTGGGAGGAGGGAAAAAGGGAGGGTTTCCACCTCCCAACGCAGACTCACCCCGCCCGCCGCCAGGGTCGGCGGATTCCATGGCTTAATCATCTTCCATCCAAATTCCGATCGATTCTGGTCGGCACTGGAAACTGCCTTGCAGGTTGAAAAGGAAGTCTGCGAACGCTTGATCTCTGTGGTGCATGGCTTGTGGGACCGGGTTCAAAACTTTCACGGGCACTTTCGCACTCAACGGGAGCTGCGGTGCGCGCCTGCAGGAACGATGCAGAAGTCAGAGCCTGGAGTTGGCCGCTTCCCGAGACTGTGCATGAAACTGTCTAGGACGAGTCTGTGCTCGGGTCCCGAGGTCCAAACACACAGCGTGGTTGTGGAGCGTGCAGCCTTTTACCTTTCCCAGGTCGGAGCTTAAATCCTTGAGGCATGGAGGAAGGTGGAAAGAGCTGCACTTGCATCGGGCATGATTATACGGAATGTGTAGTCGGGCAAAGACGGGAACCTGGAGGCGTTGCAAGCTTCGCCGCACGATGACTCTGTCTCGGGACCTGACTCGCCAATGGTGTCTCCCGCCTCCAGAGAGCAGGTGCGGGCTGTCGCGTTTACAACGGTATTTGTGAACAAAACCATATATGATGCCACGGACAGCAACGGCAGATACAGTGGTATGTATTCATGGAAAACCTTTCAGCATTCACATCGTACTTTCCAGTGCCGTATGCCGTGACAATTGATGGTTCAGGCCGCCTTGCTGCTGCTAGACGTCATCGCCTGCGGCGGACGTTTAAAAAAGAGCCGGAGCTTCAGCAGGATCAGCAAGGCGGCCATCATAGCTGCATCGGATGTGGCGAGGAACACTGCGGGGGATCATGCCGCAGCTGGCGAGTCGCTCCGGTCAAGGTGGCTTCTTCACAAGCCCTCAGGCAAAGTGGCTCTTTCATTCGCCCCTGTTCATTGCAGCTTCGATGGTCATGCAGGCATGTGTCCGAACCCTTGGCGAGCTGGTGGCAAAAAACGCCATCGACGATCCACAGCTTGTTTCTGCAGAAGAGGCTGAGCGGCGGGGGGGTACGAGCTTGCAGCGAGCTGCAGTTGTTGTCAGCGCCTGTAGCAACATTCAGGTGACGCAGATGCTGCGAACCATGCGATATATTCTTGATTCGGCTCCGCATAGTCCCCGATACATTTTTCATACACCTATTTCCGGTAGAGCTTCCGGTCACTGAAGGCAAAAGACAGTTGTGGATGCGGAGCAGGACAAGGTCCCGCTAGGATGTTGTCTTGATTCTGAATGCTCGTTCAGTTCTCAGCATGTGCCTACCTGCAGCACATGGTCTACATGGAGTTGGAGGGATTCCCGGCCATTCGCTACGTGGCTCTCCTTCTGGAGGCATCGCGGTCTTCACATGCAGTTGTTGATTCTTGCATCTGTGCCAACACAGGATTCCAGCATTGCATCGGGAGGTCATTTCAAAGACATTGGAGCACAAGCTCCTGAAGGATCGTTAGCGAAGATGTCGCTAGTCGCGAAGCGAGAGCGGGATGAGATCAGCTCGTAAGACGGCGTGGAATGTCAGGACAGAGAATTGGAGCGAGAGACCTACGAAGCAGCCTTCAATGAAGGCAGTCGGAAAATCGCAGAGCCTAGCACTGTCCATGACTGCAAGCCTTGAAGGTGACGGCTTGCTTGTCGTTCTTCCTCTACTGCAGGCGGTTTCCAGAGGGCTTCGCTGGATTCGCCTGTAGAGGGGGGGCTGCCTGGATGAAACTCCAGGGGTCAAGCCGCAGATTTGACTTTAATCAAGCTTCCTTTGCCTTGCCTGCCGGGGTCGGGCCTTACTTGGAATGTTATTCGAGCTATGGGTTGCGATTATTGGCTGGGTGTTTTTACTCCAAGGCCTTGGTTGAAGTCAGGCCACAGAGTTTTACCATGTTTTATCCCGGAGGTGTTGTTTGAGGATAAGGATGTTTAGGCATAAGATTTACAGTGTTAGTAACAATAGCAAAAATAATGCCGGACCCTGGCAGCTAATTTCCGCCGGTGAGAACACTTTGCGGTCCTGAATATTGGGATTCCTCTCAGGAGCGAAGAGGGAGGGCGGTAGCACTCGCCACCCAAACTCGACTATGAGCCGCCGGTGCGCCGCGCGGCAGCGCTCTCAAATTATTTTTCTGTCTTCTCACACCACGCTCGCCTTTGTTTGTGTCTTCTTTCACTACCCAGTATGGTGTGGGGGGGGAGGGAGGCAAACGCAGTGAGGACGGGGGGGCGCGCACTGGCGTACTCATCGAAAACGAAAATATACTTGCGTGGAGTCTTGGAGGGGAGCGAGGGGGGCAGGGCCAAACGCAGTGAGGAGGGTGCTGGGGGGCGTGCGGGGGGCGGTAGGCAGACACAGTCATGGCGGTAGGGTGATGAGGGAGACCATGGCGAGACCAAGTCCAAGACTTCGGGCTGCTCACCTGTGATTTCGATGCTCCCCGTGCTGAACCGTTTTCGCAGGTGCGCCATAGAGTTTTAGCGGACCTACCTGTGTTAGCATGTCTATATTTTTTTGTTTATCCTATCTGAGCCTAGAGTTTGATTACCCCGCCTCGGGGACCCTGGCCGATGAATTTGGGGTCTGACCCTGAGCTCCAAAACCCGATCCGAGAAGGGGCTACCTGGACAATCAGGAAGGATATTGGGTCGAGGATGAAGAGGATGGCCTCCGAGAGCTGCTCTACCGAACTACTGCCGCGGATGTGGGCAGCTCTTGGTCAGTTTGGGCTTCCCCGTTCTTGGGTTTTGGTGCTCCTTAGGCGAAAGAAGGTGATGCTTCCTTACTGTACAGGGCAAGGGGATGAATAAGCTGGGATTGGCTAGCGGCTTCAAGGCGGAACAGTTGGCTCTGTCGAACTTTGCCAATTGCAGTTCTGGCACAGGCTCTGCCTCAGGTCGCCGAGCATGCCTTGTCGTGCTTGTCGACGATTTCACAGGTGCTTGAAGTACTGCCTCATACGACCGTGAACCGATATCTCGATGGGGTGCTGGCAGACATACCTTGAAAATGTCGAGAAGATGGTCCGCCTGTTCGGGGCCCAGGATTAAGAAACTGCATCTTAGCGTATCGTTGCCAGCAAAGCTGCTCTTTCAACTCTTCCAAGGGGGGCGCTGGAGGCAGCGATGCTCCTCTTTTCACGACACATTGGATGTGCATGACAACGCATGACCACAGATGCAACAGGCTCTGATGTCAGTGCCTTCGCCAAAATCACAGCCAGTTCCTTCTCATATCGTGGTGCACTTAATCTCCCACAGGCAGAAGCGAGAAGCCTAAAATTCGGCACTTGTTCAGGAAGCGAGCCTCGCTGTGCCGGCAGCACGAAGATCTGCAAGCAAATTGCTTATGCAGTGTACCGCTGCACAGGCTTGGCATGGTTGCCGCACGGAAACAATCCCCATCATCTAAGGTCGGAGTCATAAGGGTCCTGCAGCTAGTCGAAGATGTTTGGGGCATCTAGTTGGAGCATGTGGTCCAAGATCCGAGACCCACTTGACTCTCCACTCACATGCTCTCGAAAGGGACGTAACACGCATTGCGATCGTTGCCGGTTGTGGCGGCCCACAAGCACTGCTCTTGGTGATTCGACGTGGATGATAGGTAACTATGTCAGGAGGAGCTTATGTTCCGTGGGGAGACTTGAATCACCGATGAATTGACTGCAGGCACGGGTGTGTAGAGACCACAGCTTGCATGAGCGGGGATGGGCAGCGTCGGCCTGCCACTCGTCACTCGTTTTGTGTGGCTCAACTAAACCTGGCAAAGAGGAGCCAAGAGCTAAGCACACTGCAGCTGTCTTTCAGACATGAGCAGGCATAGACACTGAGGAATCACGCCTCCGAATCTGAATCGGCCCACTGTCGGAGTGGTGGAAACGCTGTTGCTCTTCCTTACATGATGTGGGAACGCTGCGCTAACCATCTAATGTAAAGCCACCTGGACCAAGAGGACCTGAACTTTTCTGTGCTCCTGATGTCGTGTCAGTATTGGGCCGGACTTGGGCTCAACAAGTCTGACACGGGCACCATTCTGCCATGATGGCTTTGCTTCCATCCCATCCTCACTGAACGCGACTTCCAAGGCTTTGCATGATCACCGTCACTGGACAGATCGACTGATCGCTTGCTGCATTTGTAGTATTGTTCTCCACTTCACTGACCCATGAAGAAGACTCAGCAGCGCGTAATGCTGCGAAAGGGACGTCGGCATAAGGGGATTCACTCAATTTCTAAATTGACGCAACGGGTTGCCGAAAGCTGGCTGCTTAGAGTCGTTTCTGCCGGCAGGGCTTCATGGATGTCCTCCAAGCGAATGCCGAGCGATTTGTGAAGGAGACTTGGAAACTTGAGCCTCGAGGGTGACGTCTACAAGCTCGTTGATGCATTTTGGCTGTATCGCTGTTCTGCGACTTGTGCCGCAGGAGCTTGTGAAATTGGGCATTCAACTGTGGATGGATGGAGCGGCAAGTGCCGAGTCATTCCAGGATGCTGCCCGCTCCAGCAGATAGTTCGAACGACGTCCGTAGGGGCAGCATGTCTGCAAAGATGCGATTTGACTTGAGGACATCATCCATGTGTTTCATGCGATATCGCTGCAAAAGTCACAACCTTAAGACCCAGAATTCACATTGACGTGTTGAGATGACATTTGGACTCCTTGTTTGATCAGTTTGATCTATTTGAGGCCTGACATCTTGAGCACGAACTTGCGAGAGGCCTGCCGTTCCTGCACATGGTTAGACACCGTTACCTTACAACACGGTTGCCTTTGACTCCGGTAACCTCTGTCTTGTTGTGGGGTCGCAGACAGTGACTGTTTCTAAGGACTGGGTCATATCGAAAATCCCGAGAACACAGACATCGTATGGTCCATGCATGCATACCGAGACCAGCATTTGTCGAGCTTCAAAGCAGGCCGTTGTGCTCAGTATTTGACACGAGCCGATGCGATTTGTTGGTGACATTTTCCATAAAACCGAGCAGGCATGATACCCTGCTGGCTCAGAACTTGGAAACAGAGTGTGTCGAAGACTCATCGGCGTGCCGATGCATACTGCGTCGAATTCTGAACAGCATGGACTTGGTTGGATCACATCCATCCAGTGAGCCAGAATGATGTGTAGACTCCGAATTTGGTCAAGGTTGCAGAGATGGTTCCGGTTAAGGACTCGTAGACAAAGCTGAGCGAAAATCAAGTGCATAATGGTGACATAAGCAGCAATGTGACAATGCCGTGCAGTTCAGTGGAAAGAGCACCCTCGGGCTCGCTCCTTATTTGGCTAGATAGCCACGATCCCGCACGATGGAGGCACCGATGTTGCAGCTGCTTCTGCGGCTGGAGAAGGCTTTCATCCGACATAGGTGACGTAAGCCACCATGCAAAAGCAATTCTCCATCATTGAGTGCTGCAGTTTTTGTCCCAACAGCAAGCAGTTTTGGGGTCTTCAGCTAAAATGGGGATTGGGGGCAGGTTGGGTTCAACTCCCGGGCAGGTTCCTGGGCTTTGTAAGAACATTCGGCTCTGGTTTCGACAAATCTGGTGCTCAAAACAGTCCCACCCGAACGTTGAAAAGATACTCTTAACTACCTTCCGGGAAGCAGGGTCGAACCCAAACGCAACTTTCCAGCCCTGAACAGTTCGTTCGATGCTCGGCTGGATGTTGCAATGTTTTGTCACCACCCCAAAATGTTTCTGAATAATTTCCCGAAGCTGGAAAGCAAGCCTACAAGCATTCTTCAAGTCAACAACATACATCTGGGACCCTTTTAGACAGATCCCAACTCCGAACCAGGCCAAAATGCATTTTCCGGTGTTTGGAAGACGCATCTAGAGCTCTTTCTGATTTTCTGGTGTCCATAGACATTCTGCTGCTGTGGATATTCAACGGGTTTGTCGAAGGCGAATGTTCCGGCAACACCATTGGCTGCCGACATATTGAAAACACTGCGGAAAGCGCGGTCCTCAGGAGGAGGCATGCCAGCTGACCAAAGCGAAATAATTCATGCAAGAATGAGCCGCGGCATAGGTGCGTGTGTACCTGCGACGAAACGGGCTGACTCTGCTTGGGACCTGAGGACCGAAGCTTCAAAAGGGCATTCGCTCCGGTTAAGAAGCTCTACGAAGAGGGTACAAGTCTCAGACTTGCGGTGAAATTCTACAGATTTATGAGATTTAGCGTTAAATGATCTGGGCGAAACATGTGCAGATGCAGTCTCGAAGACTCTGTAAGAAAGAAGCCCTGGCGGCATATCGTGCATAGCCCTGCTGAAAACAAGTGCAAACGTGTGCTCTACCAGTCGGCTTGCTACGACGAACGACGAAGCATAGCAGTTTCTTTTTGTGACCGCTTCTCAATTGAGTGAGCGAGTGAGTGATTGAGTTAGTCAGCACATGCGGTGCTGTCCCTATCAACATCTCGGGGGGCCTCAGGAAACGTCTTTGCCCCCGTTGGGAAATCCAAGGAAGCGAGGCAGTGCGGCCAGTGCCGAGGGAGCGATGCTCCAAGCACAGGGCCTGCACAGGGTCGCCCCGGGGTGTGGGCCAGACGCAAAAGGCCCACGGTGTGCGCCAGATGCAAAAGAAACACCGTGCTCCAGCACCGAGGGCGAACACGCAACCAAGAAGGAAGAAAGACTCATAAACTGCCGGCTGATCATGATAAGTCGCTGCAGCAATAAAAAGCACCGGGGCTGGGGTGGCGAGTGCTGAGCATCGTTAAAGGAACAGGTTCAGTGGTAGCAGCATCACAACGTGAGTCCAGGTCACAATGCCTGGCCTAGATAGTGGCCGGTTCACTGGAATAGGAACGCAGGACATGTGAGCCACCGGACGAGGGAAGGCGGGACCAGTTCTCCGAATTCATTTTGTGGATGCAAGTAAACGTGAACAAACTCGAGGGCTCTGTCGCCCTAGTAGGGGGAACGGGGAGGGTGTGGGCTTCTCTTTGGGACAGCGTCCTTTAGCACTGGGCTCCTGCAGCAACCAGTCGCTGGCGATTTTTGCGCACATGTTCGCACTTTTGTTGTTGGTGGATTTGCGTGGGGCTCTGGCACACTGCAGAACAGCAGAGGGCAGAGAAACAAAGTGCGCGACTCGTTTCGTTGACTCGGCGTCGCAGTATAACCGTGTAGCAATCCTTCAAGTGTGTTTCGCCGATTCTAAGGATACGATCCAGAGCTGGAGCTCAAGCTTCGGCAACACACTTCCATGCAGATGACGGGTCAGGTGAATTGAGCAGGGCGCCGGTCAGCTTGAACCGAAATACAGCGTTGCTTTGGACGTAGATGGTTTCACTCTTGAACATGGCTCCGGCTGCCGCCTGCAGCCCTGTAAACAGAGTCTGTGCAAAGAGCCTCTACTCGTAGGTCCGTGAAGGTAATCTTCCGTTTCAAGGTTTGTCGAGTCGCGGTCCGAAGCGAAGCCTCAAAACCCCGCGTGTATTTGTGTAGAACGATCGGTTGGAATCTAGTGCTTGCCACTGCAGCGGACCCAACCGGTCACCTATATTTCGAGGGATGGTTCTGTGATCATGTCAGAACTGTTATCGTTTGGATCGATTTTGACACGATGCTGACATGACATGTCTGCCCGATCAGAACGGAGAGGGCGGAGAGTACAGGAGATCTCTCATACAACAGTCGGTCAGGCTGGTCCTTGGCTTGGGGGTTTCTCTGGCTATGGCGCTGTCACACATCTCTGTTGTTCAGCTTCTGCATCCTGTGGCTGTTTCGCAAAACGTAGCTGCCGTCTGTTTCGCCTTCCCCTGAGCGATTCGAAGGAACTTTCATGGGTTTCAACCTTCCCTAGGAGGACGATTCTCGGAGGGCATGCTTGCTCTAGAAGATGATAAATTGAAAAGCCCTGAGCACCTGAGCATGCCCCAACCAGGATGGGACATGCACCGTGTGCATGGAGAGATTCGCATTCGTGTTTTGGGAGGGAAGCCTGAGTGATGTGGTGCCGTGGAAGATTTGTCCTTGGCAGACTCCGGCCCAGGCCAAGCTTGGCAGATGCCCTCACTTGAGAAGCGATGCGGTGCTGAGCCATGCCACCGGCTGCGACGGCACTCTGCCCACAGTTAAAGGCGGACAAAGAAGCCGCCATCGAGCTGCTGTCCGAGTGTGGCGGCAGGTGGGCCTATGTCCAGTTGCTCTTAGACATTTCTTCCTCGCTCATCGTTCCATGCACCGCTTGGTCTACCACGCCTTGGATCTTCGGAGCCTTCGGTCCGATGGTGATTGTATCCTTGGCTCAGCAAGAGCAAGGTGGTCCCTGGCAGACTTTGCTGGGTTCGGTGCTGCCGGTGCTGATGTTCTTGCCTTCTGGGCGTGCTTGCTTTGCTGCTTTTTGGCGCTCAAGGCCAATGATGAGCAGTGAGCAGTGTGGGGCACGGTACGGTCGGGACATGCATGAGGATTCCCACAACTCTCACGTTATCGGATGCGACTCGGCGCATGCGCCCTCTTGGCTGCAGCCATCGCGCAGCAGATCAACCTGACTACCTATTGGCAAATGTCACGGAGACCTGCCTTGGTATCGACGGACAAGCTGTCGCACACAGGCAGCCGCACCAGGCCCGCCAGGATTTAGATCATCTTTTGGCCTCTCCTAGCAATTCTAGGACTGCTGTCGGCTCAATGCTGTGTTTATGGGGTCCAACCTAATGCAGGCAGGAGATATGAAGCGGCTATCTGCATGTTGCAGGACTGTGGGGCAGCATAGGCAGAGTGTCGTATCGAGGAATCTGTGGCACTTGACCGACATGCATGCTTGCCGAGACATGAATGCTGCAGAAGCCAGTAGCCTCAACCATAGGACGAAGTTTCAACTTAGGGAGATTTTCTCGTTGGATTTCATATTTCTTGCAAAGGACTCGTCCAAAGCAACTCGCCTTCGGCAGATCAAGCTGCATTTGTTCATTCTGGGAGCGACTTTCACACATTGTGCATCTTTCTTTTCTTCCACCACTACGCTTTCTTCAGCCTGGGCTTCCTGGTTTTTGTTGGGACAGGCTCTATCGCGAGTTTGACCTCGCTAAGATTGGAATATGAAAGATGCACTTCGCTGGGACAGCCAACAGATGCACTATATGACATCATGCTGCCATAGAAGGCTGTGGAAGCTCCTGTGCTCCTTCTGTTGCAGTACTATGCCTCGTATTACCTCTGTGCCAGTGGCATTTATGCGATGGCCTCGGTCACTCTGTCGTCATTGCTTAGCCTCTGCACCACTGCAGATGCAGCCTACGGCCTGCTTTTCGTAGACCCCACAGCCCGGCACATCCGTGAGCGTGTCCACCAGCTTCAGGCCCTCACAGAGGCTGGAGTTGACATGAACGAGCATGAGACCACCACCATATTGGAAATCTGACACGAACAGGCCACAAGATGCCACAAGCCGAGTTGCCGGCGAAAGTTTCTGCTCACGAAGCCTCAGTCGCGATTGTGTTTGTTAAGATCTGCTCTATTTTGGGCTGACGCGGGGCTCACACTCGTTTCAGGGTACCACACGCACGAGCAGTCCTTGAAAAGGAATTGTTGCACCAAACGGTATGCGCCCCAACTTTGGAATGCCACGTGTTGCTAAACGGTACATCACCATCCTTTGTGAGCAAAGCTAGCCGTGGAAGTGTGCTGCCGTTCTACAGACGAGCTTCAACAGTCACAGCAGTGGCCCGACGTGCCATCCCGATGTTTGCATGAACGCAGTTAGCCAGTGGCATTTTGCTCCTCATATAAGTTATACGTGTATACATTATACACATGTTGAGATAGATATGCAGAGAGACAAATGTGCTTCAGAAATCCATTTTAATTACTCGCTAATTAAGCCATCCAGGATCATCGTTTGATCAAAGATCATGGCCCCCCTGCGTCCAGCCGCGTGCCCACAAGTTGGTTAAACGGCGGGTGAAAACTGACGATTAGTTGGCCAGAGGTCACAGGTTTGCTCCGGTGCCGTTATTTGGCTCTGAAGTGCCGCAGATAAGCCGAGCTCCAGTTCTCCCATGCAGGAGTTCTGGGCTACTCGAATTGTGCTTGTCCTGCTCCTGATTGCGGTCTGCGACTTCTGCAACAGGAGCCTGTGCCGGTACAAAGATGCCAGAGCAGACTGGGCAACCGGGGGTTACTTGCAACCGCACGGAATCTGTGGAGAGGAGAGTGAATGCGTGTTGCATCCCAAAGATGCAGGCTTAATGGCCTCAAGCTTCGTCATTTCGCAGGAAAGGCCTTCGGGGTTTCGATATTCCTTGCTGGATGATGGCTACAACTTGACGGTGGTGAGTGGGCAAATGGAAGCCAGGTGTCGCATGACTTCAATGGCTCATCAGCTCGTCAGTGCACCGGTGGCGAATGGATCGCAGACCGAGGTGCGGACTCAACCACACTTTGTGCTGCACTTCTCTTCTTGCCAGCCACTCGATGGTTCTGCCACTGCCGTGGTCAGCGTCGCCCTTTTGATCCCAATCACCGCTGCCTCTGATCGCGAGTGCACAGTCCTTCCGTGGATATGCGCCCTTGATCCTACTGCTTTCAATTTGGAATGCACCAGCACAACCACGACTTCGACAACCGCGACATCCACAAGTACCTCATCAAGCCTCAGCCGGACATCAACACACACTGCAACCCTGAAGACCTCAGACACCTTCGCACGGTATCTAGACTTCGCGTACACTTCTCCTTCGCGAAAATGCGGAGGGGAGCGGAGCTACTCGAAGCATCCAATGACCCAACAGGAATGTGTGCGCAGCTGCGTCGATGCTCCTCGATGCAGTGCATTTAAGTTCAATCTCGTCGGAAACCGTGGCCAACCGGAGTGCTGGCTGTGCTGCCCTTAAATAGCTGCACAAGAGATCACAAGAGTTGAGTTGGTCGGGAGCAAGCACAGAGTGCCTTGCTCCTATCCGCACTCCGAGGTACAGTGAAACAGCCGATGTGGATCGGGAGCCCAACGATCAGAATTGCTACGAGGTTCAGCGTATGTTACCAGACTATGAAGTTCTCGCAAAGAGGCGGCGGCTGGGACAACAGTGGAATCTGGTGAAACAGGTTCAAGAAGCACTGTCTGGGATTGTTGATGGTTTCCGTGGGCCAAGTAGTACTACCGCCACGGTGTCCACCTCAACCGTCACCATGACCAGCATCACAGTCACGACAATCACTGCCACCACAACGAGCAGCACTGCCACGGGCACCACCAGGACCGCCACAGCGACAAGCCTTACTTCTACGAGCCATACATCAACAAGCAGAACAACATCTGACACCATGACCAGCACGACAAGCACTACGACCACGATGACCAGCACAACCAGCACGACAACCACCATAACCAGTACAACCAGCACCACCACGACCTTGTTAAGAACATCTATCTCCTTGGCCAGCTTGCTCCAGCCCTTTGGTGGGACAGACCATTGCACTGAGCTGGTTATTGACGGTCCCAGTGACAGGGAAGTGTTTTGGGATTCAGTTGCGGCGACGGTAAATGGTGGCGACGGATTCCTCGTGTACCAGCTGCAAACTCAATATCACACATGCTACCGAGATGTTGAGATGCTCGGAACCATGTTGACTGCGAGCATCTCTGTGCAGAGGTGCGAGAAGTGTAGCGCAGCAAAGCTTAGAACAGACAGCACCTGCAGCCCGGACTACTGCGACAAGCACTTCAGGAATTCCGAGACGGAGGATATTTGGAAACTTCTGTTGGTCTTTTTCGGGCATTGCATTGCAGGCCACATGGTGCAGTGTTGCTGCATCAAAAACTCCTGGACCAGGATCGTGCGCATTGTGGAAGACATCATGTCAGGTTGTTTGGGGCTTGCTTGTTTCCATCCGCAGATGCAGGGCTATCACAACCTGGAAATTGTTAGAGAGGGAGTGCAGATTTCAGATAATTCGAGAGATCATGCACAGAGAGCCACACACGTGCCGGAAGCAAGCCAGCGTGCTTTTGAGCAAGCTCTGGACCTGGAGACACTGCGATGTGATCCTGCTGCAATTCATGCTTTGATTCGCGAGGAGAAGTTGCAAGGCTGCTCGAAGGAAACACTTATGGCACTGGCAGACATTGGGCCGCTTTGGGACGAGCTTCATATGGATAGCCAGCAAGACAATGCCAAGTTGGCCGGCATTAGATTGTGGTCATGTCTCAGCCTCATCATACTGGTGGTAGGCCTTGTGTGCCTTCGCTGCGCACGCTGGCTGGTCTTTCCACTGTTTTTGGGTCAGATGTTTCCAACATGCCTGCTCGCTGTGGGGTGTCTCTTCTGCCTCTCTCTGTATGTGTGGCTGAAGTGTGGCACCATGTTCAGCAGGGGCGATGACTTACAAGCGAAGGAGGCTTTGCTTCAGGAACTGGCAGAGATCGAGTTGGACCGAATGGGGCTGCCGCATCACTGCATCCCCAGGTGCGGCAGCAAGCTTCAAGTCCTTGCTGAGCTGGTAAAGAAAGGCCTCCTTGGAAAGGATGGCTGCTTGGTCAAGAAAGGCGATTTCGAGATGTATGCACACGACATCATGTTGGCACTCGTAGGCAGCGACGGCCTTGCATTCAACGATGTTGGCTACAGAAGGACGGGCACAGATACCGATGGTTCCCCGATGTACTCTTTCATCTGGGGTGAAAGAGGGCCATATGTACCTTACAAGGAGCACGTCGCAAAAGGAAGAAAATGCGGTGAACAGTTTCTGGAGCTGGCAGAGGCTGCCTGTGGAAGTGATGGCGAGGCTGTTGGTCATTTCCTTTACCTGCTGAGCCAAGATCCAGATCTCTTCGAAAGCATCAGTCACTTGCCGGAGCAGCGGCCAACAGAGAGAGCCAGATACAAGCAAATTTGCAAGCTCGCAGTCTTGATCTCTCCAGAGTCGATTCTCCACATCGAGAAGTATGCAGGGGGTTCTGCACTCTTGTCTCCTGTTGGCCCTGTTGTCGATGAAGGAACTTGGCAAGAATGTCAACTCATAGCAAAAAGTAGGAAGAGCCACATCCTGTGGCTGCTATACAAGTACAGGACGTGGATGTGTTCAATGCTGGTTCTGATGGTTGCCGTGATTTGCTGGCTTGGGATTGCCATGGTCGAGTGGCAGTACAGTTGCCCTTTCGCCAAGTTTGTTTTATGCAGAAGGATTCCATCTGTCGCACTCTCCACTTTTATAGGTGTTTTGGTGGCTGGGGCATATTACATACACAAAGTCCGATCCTTCATCCCGAACGACATCACTTCCGGGCCTCGCTTGTTCCACAAGCTTGAGCTGGCATTTCAGGACATGCTGTCTCTTGCCATCTCTTGCCTACAGCTTAATGCCGGATGCATCTACAGTAAAGCAGAGTTTCGTTTGGGCACCAAGACTCGACCCCGTGTTCCTACTGCTGTAAATGCTAGGGCTGCTGACGCTTCGCTTCTCCGGCTCGACCTGCTCAAACAGACATGCGTGGTTATGCGGGATTATGCGTGCGTGCGTGCGTGGGTGCGTGTGTGCGTGCGTGCGTGCGTGGGTGTGGGTGTGGGTGTGGGTGTGGGTGTGGGTGTGGGTGTGGGTGTGTGTGTGTGTGGGTGGGTGGAACTCCTCTACCTAAGGATTGAGTCGACGAATAACTGTTGTCGTGATGCATAGCAAATCGAAGAGCAGGGGGCTGGCAGCCTATTCCGTGATNNTAGGTGGAAGGAGCTATGGACGCGTTGCTCTGTACCTGCCTTGATTTTAGTTGCCGAGAAGATGTGCATCAGGTCATAAATTTTTCAGATTCAATACCCGATAATCACCCAAGTTTTAGTCTCTGGTTTCATCTTCCTTGATCCTTGAAAGCTAACGCATCCCAGTTTCATCCATTTCAAGAAAGCACCCAAGCATCTCTGACATGTCATTTGGTGTGTCAGACTATTAGCCGATGCCTCCCAAACTCCAAGAGTCTGAAGTATACCCAAGATTCCGAAGTATACCCTATTGAAGCCTTTTCCAACAAGCCCTCTCAATCCCAGCTTCCTCAAAATGCGAATATCCGAAGCTGATCCAAGCATACCCAACAAGCACCCAAGTCGACGACGATAACGGAGAAAACATCCGTTACCCAACAAGCACCCAATGTTAGGACGTCGTCGTTTGTCGTGTTGGCATTATTCAGAGGCAAGGTTCCTTTGGTGAGTGTTCGTGTTACACATCATTTCGTTTTCGTCTCATTTCTTCCATTTGACAGTTCAGGTTCTTTCTTTTGTTCAGGGTTTTCGTCGTCATGTCGATCATATCACCTATCATTTGCCATTTACTTTTGCTCAGATCAAATCAGGAGCTTGAATTGATGGGTAAAGAAGAACATTCTTGCCCCATCATGTAGCTCTAAGTCTAGTTCTTGGTCCACCTCTTCCA